TGCAGGATTGTGGCCCTCGAGGACCAGGATTGCCCACCCCTGCCCTGGAGGGATTATATATCTCATCTGGCCTGAGAAAATCTTGGGATCCTCAGGAGGAGCTAGAAAACATGGAATGCATTGCTCACCTCGCTGACTCCACAGTGTTATGTTCAGAAACGTTCATGGACTTGCTGTTTTAAAATTTAAATTCTTAATTAAGGATTTGTGTCATTTGTGTCTGTTCAGCCCATCGTAGTGCGTCATCACTGGGTACATCGGAGACGACAAGAAGGCAAATGTAAACAGTGTGGGAAGGTGGGTGGTAATTCCTGGAGCATTTTTACTTTGACTTTCAAATGACTCACACATGGTGTACGTCAAGTTTAAAATCAGAAAATGACAGTCTTCCTCTCCAAATGTGTTAAGTTCTAACTTAGTTGAATTAAAGTGGAAGTTTAAGTTTTTCAGTGGCAGTAAAGCACAAAAAAACTTCTGTTCCTGTTTTTGTGTGTGTGTGTGTGCAGGGCTTCCAGCAGAAGTTTGCTTTCCACAGTAAAGAGATTGTTGCCATCAGCTGCTCCTGGTGCAAGCAGGCTGTGAGTGTATTTGCAAAAACGACTGAGTCACATATGGGAGCAGAGAAAACAGAAGCTAAACTCCCACAAAATGTTACTCTCTTCTGTTTTTTTTTTCCTACTCTGCAAATCTCAATAAATGCATGAATTCTAATGTTGTGTTTCCCTCCTTAGTACCACAACAAAGTTTCTTGCTTCATGCTGCAACAAATTGAGGAGGCTTGTCCAGTAGGAGCTCACGCTGCCCTTATAGTTCCGCCCACATGGATCATAAGAATCAGACGCCATCAGGTAACACTCCAAGCTGTCCTTAGAGGGAAAACCTGACCCCTTTGGTTCACATCTTATTTTTATCTTCACATATGTCGTCCATCATCAGTCAGATTATAAGTTGCTGTTGTTTACATAAAGGAGTGTTGAGCTAGAGTAACTATTTAGCCTCATTTAGTGATGGCAGCAGCTCCTAATGAAACCACCTGCAATGATCTCCAGCCGCTGCCTCCTCTGTGTCTCTAACAGTCATCTATGAAGTCGAGTAAGAAGAAGAAGAGGACGTCATTCAAGAGGAAAAGCAGCAAGAAAGGAGCAGAGGTCAGTCCTGCGCTGTATTCTGTGATCTCTGTAGTGTAATACCATGTAGATTTCAGAGTATCTCTCGTTTTGTGCTGCCTCTGGCCACATGTGTACATATGGAACAAGTAACATCACTTCTAAGTTAATGAGTAGCTATTTGCTGTTATGTGGCATTAAAAACCAGTATACAAACATAATGCAATAAAAGTCAGCACAACCTTGACTCGTTTGACAATCTACATGGAAATTAATGGTGTTATATTCAAATCCCAGATGTTTTCCACGATACAACAGGCTACACGTGAACACTGACAATACTTTTTTTTTTTTTGACACAAACAGGAGACACTTGAGTATTCTCAGTTGTATTTGGACACAGTCAGATGGGTTTTTATAGTGATATTATTTAATAGTCATGCAAATAACAAGCCTGAATGGACAACAGAAGTTCTGCTCCAGAGGATCTAAGCAGATGGTCTTCTTCTTTGACAGGAGGGACGACAGTGGAAGCCGTTTATAATCCGACCCATCCCCTCACCTCTGATGAAGCCACTGCTCGTGTTTGTCAACCCAAAGAGTGGAGGGAACCAGGTATTCATGAACACATCAAGCATTCAGGAACTTAGAAAATTAGTCAGCCTATAAGCTAAGAGCCTATGGTGCCACAAAAGCATTCACAAGTCCTGAAAACCAGCTAGTTCGTTACAGCCACACAGAGGGTTCTATGTTCTGAAGACTTTGTCCTCTTTGTTAGCCTGCGGAGCAAATAAAGTGACACTAAATGTGATGTTGAACACACATTCACATGATCATGTAAGTAGATTCTGGGTCTGTTTAGTTGCCTCAATGTTCTTTTTGTTTCTGTGTCTGACAGGGAACGAAGATCCTTCAGTCCTTCATGTGGTATCTGAACCCCAGACAGGTGTTTGACCTCAGCCAAGGGGGACCAAAAGAAGGGTTAGTGCCACACGCTGATGTCAGTAAACACGTCATGTTAGATACGTTCTGCTGAACTGACTGTGAACCACTATGAATGTTGCAGGTTGGAGCTGTATCGTAAAGTCCATAACCTGAGGATCCTGGCCTGTGGCGGAGACGGCACTGTGAGCAAAAACACACAAACATAAGCCACTTTTATATGCACTGATGCTTAAAAAGAAATGTATTAGGATTGATAAATATCCCCACTTGTATATGCAAACTGCACAAGCAAACCTCAGGTATGATACAGAAGAAACTTGGGGCCAGTTTCTTCCCAGAATTCTAAGATTGAAGTCAGACTTCTGACTGTTTGATACCCGACAGTGTCTAATCTCTAACTGGGATTTATCAGTAAACAGGACTTCTTCTATCATCCACTGTGAAATGCTGCTGTGTGTAGCCAACCCCAAGTGTGTGACCTTGTTTCCCCTCCTGAGAAGTGCTTTAGAGGCGCTCCTTGTCCTCCGAGACACGACTAGAACACCCTCCTTTGACGGGGCTTTTGCTGATTGGAGTCGGTATCTGTGTTGAAGTTGCTTTTCTATCCCTTGGCAAACTGAGCTTCGTGTATTGATCTTCTGATGGCGTGCCCACTTTTGCCCTGCCTGATCGTGCTTTGGATACAACTGATCCAGTTTCCACAAAGTATTTCAGAGCTCCATGTGCTGCCCGCTTACAAACTTTCAGTGTAGCCATGATTTGTCTCTGAGAGAGCTCCTCTTTTGCTCAGAATAACAATCTGACTTCTGACACTTAGTTCTTATGTTTACTATCAACGCAGCACTACTTAGTAAGCCATGTTCTGCTTGAGGCGCAGTCATATTTCTTTTTGTTGATATACAGGAGAACAGTGGCTACAGGTTGATTGAGTTAAGAAATCCTCAATGAAATCAAGCTGAGGGTCACTGTTATGAGTAAACATGTTTACTGGCTGCACTGATGCACCTGACATTTTGCAGGTTCTGCCCAGGTACATGAAAATCACTGTTTCGCTTGAGGTACATCTGACATCAGAACACATTTTTTTAAAAACTATTTTCAAACTAACTTTTGGTCACACATCTTATCTGAGCTGCTGAAACTTATTGGAGGCTTCTCTGTGCTCAGCCACCTACCAGTGCATGTGAGGCATTTGGAGGATGTGTGTCAATTGAAACTTTAGAAAACAACCTGGTTTCACTCTAAACCTAAGCAGTGAAGAGTCTGAAGTGACAGTAGAATTTTCCACTGCTTATCATATCGCTAAGAGAGGAACTATGTTTTGTCAACTCTAAGTCACAGATCATAGATGGGCAAACCAATTATCAGCACCTTTATTCCATGTTTACAATCATTTGCATAATGTGTTAAGAAATTAAGAAAAGGAGAATGCGTAAAATGTATTATTTCCTGTAAAAAAAAAAATGTTGGCTGCATTTAAAATAGCTGTGCAACTGAATTACAATGCTAGAGGCACCAGTGCAACCATTTAAGCCCTTATTAAAGTCACTAAACCAGATTAGTGAGTGAAATAATAAAACCTGGAATTCCTAGTTTCCTGCCTAATTAATATTTAACTGAAAGAGTTTTGGCATAATCTAATGCCAAGAGGGCAATTTTGTAAAGCAGTAAATGAGATTTTCTCGATTTTAAGAGACATGCATATTCATTCCTTTGAATGAAGCCCTGATGATTGACAACCTTGAATCTTTTCTGATGAACTCTGAAAACTTCTTGTTTAAGAGAGTTGGACGTACGCAGGAACACACTCTTCCGTCTCTGTAACTGCACATCTGTGTGTGCTTGTGTGTGTTCGTTAAACCAGGTGGGCTGGATCCTGTCCTGCCTGGATGACCTCGCGTTAAATCCTCAACCTCCCGTCGCTGTGTTGCCGCTTGGGACAGGAAATGACCTCGCCAGGACGCTCAACTGGGGAGGGGTGGGTGCAAACGCTGACAGACACACCGACAAGCGGCTGAAGTGTTTAAATTCCAGAGCGTGCAGTTAGTCGCTGCTCTGTCATTACTAATTCAGCACTTAGTGAGCCGTTGTGTGTTGAAGTGTCTGTATTTGTTTTGTTCAGTATTTAATTTAGCAACAAATCTGTTTTGGATTAACCCTGAAGTTTGTTTCATTCAGCACTTTTTCTGAAGTTTGAACACTGAAATCCTATTGATGCTTACATACAGTATTTTTGTGCACGTTTATGTGTGATTTCTGTAACTTTGCATGCAAAAGTCCAAATTGTTTCCTCAAGAGAATCACATTATTTTTGGGGTGTTTTCAGGATGCTTTCAGTTTTACCACTTAAATGCAATAACGTTTACAGTAGTTAAAGTACTGCAGGAATTAAACCTAAAAATCAAATCACTTAATTGAAGCCAGTCGACCTAATAATGAAAACAGAGTTTGTTATACTGGATCTGTGCCGACTGTTTTATATGTACGGCAGGAAGGTCAGTGTTTTCTGACAATCACTTCATTGGAAAAATTAATCAAAATAATGATTAAAAAATGAAATTAAAAAAGGGGTCTGCCACTGCAATGGATCTGGGATGTTGTATTGTTCTTTAGAGCTTCATTGAGATTTTTTTCTTTAGCAAAACATACATAAATGATATAAAACAACGAGAATCTGGCTGTTAAGACTCACTAGTGCAATAGTGGAATTTAGTTTTTAGTTCAATATATATCTATAAAATGCAACTGTAGCATCTCAAACAATTTCTTTATTACTCTACAATCCACCTCTTCAATCGGAAGTAGTTCCAATTGACCTCTGACCTCAAAAATCCCAGTTTTTGAGCCCAGCCTGCATGTGTTCCAGGGTTATACGGACGAACCTCTGTCTAAGATCCTGTCCCACGTTGAAGATGGAACCGTTGTCCAGCTGGACAGGTGGAATCTACAGGTTGAGCCCAACACCAGTGCCGGGGCTGAGCCGGATGAACAGCAAACTGATAAGGTGAGTCCACATAGACCCACCCACGAACAAAACGGCTTCCCACCGAGACCACCAGTCTGGACACTCACTGTAACTCTTCCTGAAAAACACAATCCTGCATTTTTAAGTCTTCTAACGGATAAGCTGATTAAAATATGTTTGCGACTTCTGAGATTTACGTGGTTATTCATGGTCCCCAGATGTGTATTCCAAAGGATTATGGTGAGCCGCACTCCTTGTCCTGTTGTCAAAGGCCACCAGAAAATCAGAAGTTTGAATTGACCAACCCTTGTGTCAGTGACAAGGTATCCTGGGGCTGAACTCACACAAGCATTCTTTGTTCTTTGCCTCCTAAATGGCATTAGAAGTGTCGAAACTGAGCAACTTTTAACTCCTAAACCGGGGTTAGAGGTGGTTTCTATGGGTGACATTTCTGAATTAACCCACTCACTCTGTCTACAGTTTATGTCGGTGAAAGTGAAACAAACAAAAAAAATCTTTAAATAATAACAATAACTACGGCGTGAGAAGCAACTAGATTGGATTTGATTTTTAAAACACATCTGTTTGTTTCATGTGTGATGTCTCAGCTCCCTCTGGACGTGTTCAACAACTACTTCAGCCTTGGATTTGACGCCCATGTCACTCTAGAGTTCCATGAGTCAAGAGGTACGCATTTTATTTAACTGTACGCCGCTAAGTTTGCTTTTGCATTTACTTTTCTCCATACACTGTATATGTGGGTTAACTGTTTCGCTGCTGTTTCAGAGGCCAACCCAGAGAAGTTTAACAGCCGTTTCAGGAATAAGATGTTCTATGCTGGGGTGAGTGAACCCTCATGTTCCAAATCTGTGTGGAAATAAACGCGTTTAGCAATGTTGAGTCTCAAAGGAGACCAGCCCACAACCAGTCAGTCTGTGATCAGCACACAGAGGACGGTGATGGATTGTGTTTGTGGTGACTTGTGACTGTGTGCCCGCAGCTTTTGTTCAAAGTAGTAAAAATGTGACAAAATTGTGACATTTATAAAGATCTCTGGGCCACAAACACCCCTGGAAGTATGAGGTAGGAAAACCCTCTGCGAAGGTGAAATGATAAATGACAGGAATAAGTGCAAAAACACCTGCAGCTCACATGGTATGAAAGTTAATCTGTGCATCCAAATACTCGTGTCTTTTGTGTTTACAGCGTTTTATCTGATTTTTGCCATTACTATGAACACAAAAGTCTTTGTGTGGTGCTTGTATTTTTGATATAACCTTTCCAAACTATTTGCTTTTTATTGCTCAAAAGAGAAAATACTCAAAAATAATTGAGTATGTGGAACTTTTTCGTGCATGTAACATTTACACTAAAATAATTTTGCTGCTTGCATTTAATGATTTGATCAGTTTTCTTTTCTACACTGAGTTGTTTTTACCAAATTACTTAAATTCTGGTTGTGACTACTACAGAGTCTACTGTATTGCATCAATCATATGTTGGACTTCAACAAGAAATGCAGAAAACAATCAACCACAGATTTAAAAACTGTTTAGTATCATGATTTCACTCGCCAAATCTCCAAATCCAAAACAACAATTAACAAACGCCCACTATCGCTGCAGCACCAGCTGTGATGCTCTCAGAGTTCTCAGTTATTCTTTCTCAGTATTCTGCCAGAAGCTCCCACTGTGGATTTCACCGTGTACTCCTGTGTGTTTGTGTGTCTCCCACAGACAGCATTCTCAGATTTCCTGATGGGAAGCTCCAAAGACCTGTCGAAGCACATCAAAGTGGTGGTGAGTAGCTGTCAGTCAGGCCGTCAGTCAACTGTGTGACTGACTCTGTCTCAGTTCAGTTCAATTCAGTTCAAAGAGCTTCACTGAAAATGACCATATTTAGTTACCATACTGTAAAAATACTGACATTCAGAGCGCTGTCACAGAGAGAAAAAAGAGCAGAACAGAAATAGCTTAATAGCAGTGATAGCTTATTGTATACATTTACTTTTAAGTCAGTTTACAACGTGGCATGTTGTGACAAGAATGTAAAGATATCATACATTTCTGTTTTTTTCAGTGACATATATTATGGTTTAGTCCTGCTCCTGATATGGTTTGTTTATTCGAGCTGTGTTTGGCGTCTGTTTTGTGTGCTGAGAAGACTTCCACCTGTTCATCCTCCCTCTCAGCCTCCTCTTTCCTCCAGACTCATTTTAGATTTGAGATGAGATTGATTTCCAGGTCACAGGCAGGAGGACGGAGGACACAAGGAGGCTCAAAATAGAGAAATGAGATGAGCCTGATATCCCTGAGACTGCAACAATAATAAAGATTTAAATCTTGGTGTGAGGAAGCGTAGCTCTGTCTCTAGAGTAGATCTTTCACATTGCTGCCACAGATCCCAATCTTTCGGCAGCCATGTTTGTTTATGTTTCCATCGTTGGACTGTGTGCACTTTGTGAAGTACTTTGCAACTGTGTTTGAAGGCCAGATAACATTGCATATTACGTTATGTGTGGGATTTTGCATCGTGAGGAGCAGGACAGCAGGACATTGTGCAAATTTAACTGATCGGTTCTCTCTCTGCTTTTCTTCTCTCTTCATCTCCAGTGTGATGGCACAGATTTAACATCAAAGGTTCAGGACTTGAAGCTGCAGTGTCTGGTCTTCCTCAACATCCCCAGGTTAGTCAGCAAGGTTTACAACGATACTGCTACTATTTCTGTCACTAATGATATTTTCCACATGACCTTCCACCATGTGTACTGCTAATATTAGCATTCAGTATAAGTGCTGTAACATACACACTTTGTTCCCAGTTTAGAGAAACAAGTGGGGATTTCAGAATATGCAGCAATATCCATCCATCCATTATATATACACCGCTTTATCCTCACTAGGATCACTGGGGGCTGGAGTCTATCCCAGCTGACTTAGGGTGAAGGCAGGGGACACCCTGGACAGTTCGCCAGTCTATCACAGGGCCACACTTAGAGACAGACTATGCAATAATATACTAATAATAATAATATACCTGTGAAACTAAACTGAGCACATCTTAGATTAATCTTGGCATCACGTTCTTTGTTCAAATGACACCACAATAAATTTGTTCAGATCAGATTAGGCTCAAAATAGTGTGAACCTGCTCAGGACCACCACAGTGAGTGAATGGCTCTGACAGTGAAGCACGGAGGTGGGAGTGTGATGGCATGAAGTTAAGTATTAAAAAAAGGAAAAGATTTGATTCTCAGTGACGAAAAGTGAACTTACTCTATTTTTACTATGATTTTTTTTTTTTTTAATTTACAAGCAAATACATCATAGCGCACTAATGTACTCGCTTCAGATGTATACTTAAAAGACAAACTTAGAAAATACAGTCTACATACATTAAGGTAATTCAACTGCTTATTTTAATTGTGCAAAAAGCCTTCCTCACTACAAACTGTAGTAGGATCAAGGTTACTGCTACACACATTGTGGCTGAGCAGGCTAGTCAGTAGTCCAGTACCAAAATCAACGGAATGACAACTTCAAAATGTTTAATGGGTGCTTTATTCTCTGAAAGGCCAGTCTACGTATACATAATTTCCATTTTAAGGGCATCTCATAGAGGACAGTATCTTATGGTATTCACCGCAAAGGTCGTGCGTTTTGTTGATGGAAAGGGCACTAATCAGGACTTTGTGCTTTCTCACATCCGTTCCATGATGCACGCTGCGCCTCCTCAGCCTCCAGCTCTTCCTGTTGCTGGGGCTGGACTGTCTCTGTGCACCTGTCCATTTGGATACCGCATCATAAATCGAGAAAAACCATTTGCATGTTTTAATTTGCTTTCATGCAGCCTGGTCTCATACAAGCTGTTTATGACACAGAGGAATGGAACTTCCAATTTTTGTAAAATGAGTTTTTAAATTCTGTTTACTATCATGGGTAAATTACTGAACACGTGTGCCGTTGATGTGCAATAGACAGAAGCCCAGAAATGAAGCAGCTCCATTTGCTCTGTTCTACTGTAGCTGCCTGTTGCCAGTGAAGACTTAATTACAGGCTGCAGACATGACAGTTGATGGAGGCACTTCATGTTGATGGAAAGATTCCATTTCTAACTAGTCTAGTCAGATGATGAATGTCACTTCTATGGCTGATATCGGTCCTTATGTGTTGTGTGGCTATGATGTTGTGTTCTCCAGGTATTGTGCAGGCACTACACCTTGGGGAAACCCCAGCGAGCATCACGACTTTGAGCCGCAGCGCCATGACGATGGGTACATTGAGGTCATCGGATTCACAATGACTTCACTGGTATGGAGCTCTCAGTTTGTCCTCGTAGCCATGGTAACAAGGGAAGTAACATAAAACAGACTGCTTGTTGGGATGTAAATATTATAATTTATTTGGGTTGTGCAAAGCAAGCACTGAAAAAGCTATTCAGAGTTAAATCTTTTCAGTCAGAATTTAGGGAACATGTAAAAAACAAAGAGTTTTTTATAGCTGCTGAACTGGATAATGGCTACAGTCGATGTGATTTCTCTCTCTCTCTGTATGTAGGCCACTCTCCAGGTTGGAGGTCATGGTGAGAGGTTGAACCAGTGCAGAGAAGTCACCCTCACCACTACAAAACCTCTTCCAGTGCAGGTACATACTTAAATGCACACGTCTGCCCACCACTGCATGCTTCATCTGCTCTATATTCACACAATACCACCATCATTCACACTGACTAACACAACAATCACCTGCTGATGATGACTGGGTTTGGGTTTTATTTGGTTTATTGTTTATTTGTGTGGTTGTTAGGTGGATGGTGAACCTTGCAGACTTGCTCCTTCTGTCATCCACATCAGCCTCAGAAACCAGGCCAACATGGTTCAGAAAACCAAGCGGCGGACCTCGCTACCGCACCTTAATGAGTACGTTACACTAAGTCAGCAACCCTGTGGGCATCTTAAGTAGTAATATGTGTAACTTTCACTTTCCAGCGGTGGAGCCTCAGACTGAACATGTCCAACTTATAATTCATTTGCTTCAAATGGTCTGGTCCTGTTTGTGTCTCAGTCAGCAGCCGGTCCCAGAGAGGCTGAGGATCAGAGTGAGCAGGATCAGCATGACCGACTACGAGGCTCTGCACTATGACAAGGACAAACTACGACAAGCATGTAAGGAAAGACGCCCATACTTATATCCATGTATGCAGCTACTGAACATTGCTAATGCAATAATCACCGCGGTGAACATTTGACAGTAATTTCATTACTTCGAAGTTGAACAGTAGCTGTTTGCTCTTATGTCAAACTAACAGTTTAGATTTACAATATTAAAAATACAGGCAACAAAAGTCAGTACGCCTTTCATTACTAAGATTCAAATCTTATATTTTTCCAATACTTCATATGTTTAGCTTTATATTTGATGATGGACTCAATCCTCCTCAGCATCTTCATAAAAGCAGATCCACTACTGTTCAACTTACAAATAATGCAATCATATGACATTTAGAGTATATTGCACAGTGTATCTGTATATAGTTTACCAGGCAATATATGTGATTGAATGAACACAGTGCATGGGTGCTATGGCTCTGAAATGGTGCATATGTATGTATTGCAAAACAAAAAGACAAAAACAAAACAAAGTGAAGTGCACATAGACCTAAATATCTACTAATGTTTATTTAATAATATGAGGGTATTGATTTCATCCATTTTTTCTCACCCACGTTATCCCTTGACAATGCGCAGCTCAAACAATCTAATAAAGTCTTTGTCCAAGGTTTGTATATAAATGTTGAGTGCGGGTGTAGTCTTGGTCTACAGCAGAATAGTGTTTGTGTGTGTGAGCCCGGTGAGTCAGTGGGTGCTGACCTCATGCTCATCTTCAGCGCTGTGTGGTGGAGACGTCTAAGAAGCTGCAGGTCGATGTACCTGAATGTCAGCCGCATCTTCAGGCTGAAGGGGGAATAAAACTGCTCAATGATTAGAAGGTGAAGCAGAGATGTGAAGGTCAACAAGATCATTTTCAGCTGTCTCTCCGTCAGTCTTCACTGCCGTCCTCTGGGATGATGTGTCTGCGCTCACATGAAACTTGTCTTTGCATATGCGCAGCAGCCTGTGCTGTGTGGGTCACTGATGTTTCAGGGAAAAGGAAAAGCTCCACTTCTGCTGTCTCTCTCCCTCATTAGAAACAGTTCCAGTCCGCTGGCTTTGCAGCAGAACACACTGTGCAATATGTTAATACATGTTAATGCAGAGTTTTGACACAGGGTGGCGCTGTTACCTTTTATCATATTGTAAACAGCATGTTTTATAATACTGTAAACTGTTTGTAAATGTAGTCATTTTTCTTTTTGTTTCTGTTTTCCACTGTTTGGTATCCTGAGACTTATTCCGTGGTGGGAATATGCAGACATACATATTTCATATTTCATCATAGTAAGGATTCAAAAAGATATGGGGATGATTTTTATTTTTTCAATATATTTCAAGCATGTTTTTGTTCCAGATAATCTTCATCGTTTTATTTTTTTTTATACCTCATCCTTTGTTCTTGCTTTTGGAAGTTTGAGTTGTTCTCTCATTATGCAAATCAATCACTGCTCTCAACTTGTGGAAGTGTCACACTTGGGGAGATGGTAAAAATATGTTTTAGACCCTGAGGTGCAGTGCATCATCTCAGTTCCATTTCTCTTACTGTGGCTTTGTCTCATTCTGAACACAGAATCTAGAGGCTGTTTAATAGAGATTTGGACGGATCTGTCATGCAGGTTCTGTATGTAAGAGGTGATAAAGCTCACAGAACAGGTGACAAATCACCTGTTTTTTTCAACCAACAAAAGATTCATGCTTCAAGAGACTAAAATGAATGTAAGTCATTGTTTCTGACAAGAGTATTGCTGCTGCATTTTCTTTCAGGTGCAAAGTCGAAGTAGCTCATATTGGAGATGGAAAACAATAGGATTGAACGCTTTTATTGCCGTCGTGTTGTGCAGAATACAATGAAATTAGAAGCGCCGCTCCTGACGGGTGCATTAAGAGACACGCACATACAAAAAGCAACCTCAAAAACAATACAAAATTGAGCAGATAAATAATGAATGTTCAAATCAAACACTAGAGGTATGTAATTTTGCATCAGTGTGAATGTGGCCTATTACACTATAATTATTGCAGCAGGCATAAACACAATTATTACACAGAATGAAAGACTCCTTATTGGGATTCAGTGTACAGCAGGAAAAGAAACTGTCTTTGTTGGTTTGATATGGAAAGTTTGATAAGAAGGACAGATAGAAGAGGGAGATATTGTTATTCCTCATGGTTTTCCTATTTCCATTTATGCACATATATTGTTATTCTCTGAATATGGCGAACCTGTTGTATTTGATCTTTAAAGCAGCGCTCTTTAAAAAGTCTTCAATAGGAAAGCACCAACCCCTCCGATGTGAGAGGCAGAGAACGTATTAGGCATTTTTCTTTGTCGTTGGATTGTTTGGAAATTATTCAGCCCATTTTACTTGTTCCACGTGTTGTCTGGTTGTGTGCCACTTGAAAAGGTCAGTCTGTGGAGCCTATGAAGAGAATGCAGCGGCTACATTCTGAAAGCGTGTGACTGTTTGAAGAGGCGCTTGGTTAATAAGCTGCTCGGCTCTCCTTGTCTCAGAGGAATGTTTGGAGAATTAGCAATAAAGTAAACAGGCTGCACTTTTCTCGAATCTGTCAAAGTCTCGCTGAGTTTCTGTTCGTGAAGAGCCTTTGTCTCCCTCACTCAGGTATTTAGTATCAATGAGAGGTGTGTGTGGGTTCAGGAGCTCCTCACTTGGTTTGACAGCACAATGAGCCGTGTGATGTTCAGCCAGCAGCACTGAGCCGGTGCAGCGGGCGGCTGGCCTCGGCCGCCTCAGGGAGCAGGCGTTTTTTGTTTCAGCACCTACGTTGGTTTACTGATGGCAAGCCAGCTCGGTCGGGCTTATTTATCGAAATAAAAGACACTGATTCCGGCGTCAGCTTGGCGCTACACTTTGGCACAGGGCGAATACCGTCACATGTGGAGTTGCCCGATTTTGATGTAATACTATTGTGTGTTCACCACATGTGTCACTTAGTGGATTGTGTTGTGCTTAATTCTATTCAGCAAAGTACTTGTGTTTCGACTCATTCGTTCTAACTGTGATAGTAAACAATCCACGTGTGCGTTCACAGAGCTGGTGCTTTTACTACGATGCAAGTTCAGCATCCCCAAAGTATCTTTTTTATTATTAGTTACTAGTTGTTATTAAGATAACTGGACTCTTTATTTGTTCTTGAAGTTAGTCACCTCTCATCCAAGAGGCTTATTCAGTCCCAGGGAGATTTTTGAATACAAACCAGCCACTGAAGAGATGACTGTGTTCTTTTCTTTTCTGTTTTATCAAACACTTTGATTGTTGTTGTGTATGTACACAGAAAAGAATGCACAGACCTTTATATAGGGGAGATGAAACGACTTCGCTCCACAAGTGCTTGCAACAAGTTTTATTAAGTCAAGAGATAAAAGGCTATCAGTTGTATATGTTGTAGGATTCGATGTTCTGTATAAGTTACCACGGCGATGTACCCTGGTACAAAGTTGACCACTCGAAAACCGAGGACTAAAACCTGAGGGTCGCTCGCTCACTCACCTCCGATCCTGCTTTGTAGTACGGGCCTCTGGACTTAGATCCAAGAAGCTTCTAATGCAACTCGTCTCTTCGCTGAGTGGCAGCTGCACAATCAATGTTTTATGCTCTTTTATTCAGCAGTTACTCAGCGAGATTTTTTTATTCACTGAGCAGTCCGCTGGTATCAAACACTTGGAAAACACAAGCAAGTCCATGCTGGTTAATCACAGTTGTGTCTCTGAAATTCAAGAACTTGCAATGAGGAGTTTTTAAGTCTTACATGGCATGCCTTTAAACAACTACTTGGGAAAAACTTGGACTAATTCAGGGAATATTTGCTTGGGGGATGTATCAGTCCCAATGCAAGCCCCATTTTATTGTCTGTTTTCCTCTAAATAGGACATAATTTACTAAATGAATATCATTCTGTATTCAAACAATCTTGAAACTAGAAAAAAATAGTTTGTAGTGTCTATTCTCTCATCTCAAAATGTGTTTATGTCCCAAACGGTGAATGTAACTTGCTTAAACATCAGGTGACATGTTGCTGTTTGTGGCTCCTCAGCTGCCACAGAGCTGCTGACTGTTCAGACGATGACATATTTGACTCCCCTCATGTAGAGTCCCTGGTCTGCATCCTCCCCTGTTAGGTGACCAGAATTACAGCAGCACTCACAGGGTCCTGAGGGTTGCAGTTGAGCACCACTGTATAAGTAGGTATCAAAGTGCTGTTGGATAATTGTCTTGTTCCTCTGTATCTCCAGCCATTCCTCTGGGACTGATCGTGGTTCCTGGTGACAGCGACTTAGAAACCTGCCGAGAACACATCCAGCGATTGCAGGAGGTAAGGAGGAGAGAGGGGAGGGAAGGATGTAGAGATGAAAAGGTCATGGTTCTGTGTCACTAAATGAAAAGAAAAAAAAAAGGCACAAATGCAGATGAAAAACAAAGGAAGCTACTTTTTCATAAGTTGGAACAAAGCTAATTAAGCTGTGTGTGTGTGTGCATGTGTGTCTTTATACACTGTTTCTGGACTACTCTCTTCTCTACTTTCCTGCGCTCTGATTTTCGTCTCTAGGACTTCTGCTCTGTCCAACCCTCCCTCAGATGTTTGGGACCGCAGGTTGGTAGTTAGATGCTGTTTTGTAGTGTGCTTGTTGTTTGGCTGTGGGGCACGCGGGAAACTAACGGCGAACACTTTAACAATCAGTATTTTAATTGAAAATCGTCCAGGTGTTGATTAACATCGAGTCAATTCCATTATGTGGCTTTAAAAATCGGTCGAAGCAGGCAATGTTTGCTGACAAATTCTGGTCACACACAGGAAACACTGCATTTTGTCTTAATTGAATGTCAATTGGTGGAACGCAAATGAAGTGAAGAAATGCCACATTAGATGAATAACATTTTGGTCAAGTCACATCACAATAGTAGAGATACAGCTCAAACAACTGCTCTGTCTACACCACATGTATCATTTGCACTACAACTACCAAAGCCAGTACTGATGTGAAAACTGCTAATTACTGATGAAATGCAGTTTACAAAGCTTTTGTTCTTTCTGTTCTTCTGGCATTTTTTTCCATATGGAGCCATGATGGAAACCTGTGCAGCCCACAGGTCCAAAACTAAAAGCTTCACAGGTCATCTTCTAACCATGTTCAGGAGATTAGTGTAATTGGAAACCACAGGCGGACTTCATTTTGTGTCAGTGATTACAGGAGGATTCATTTTGTTGCACTGAGATTCTCTTAAGCATTTGTTTTTGATTGTTCATTAGAGAAAAGACTCTCCTCACCAACTCAGAAATAATACAGTGAAGAGTTGATATAATCTTGAATCAGTTGACTTTTCAGTGATATTATATATACTGTGTATTGCAAATAGTGTGGAAACTTACAGTCGGTTAGTGCACAAGTGATTATATAAAAACATGATTCAAAAATCACTCTGACAGAAAGACAGAAAAGGAGCCGCCAATTAAACTTCACAAAGACGAGTCAGTCTTTCCAAAATCTTTCTGGAGCTCGCTCATCGCCATATGCTAGGGCTCACTGCACATGGCTCGGCTCCACAGCAGACTGGCTGACCTTGGACACTACAAATTAGGCAACAGCATTCAGAATTTTGAGCCAAACCATCAAACTTCTGAGTACAGCTCGAGTTAAAAATTTTGCGAGAAAGGTTACATCTGACACGGTGCTGACAGCCAGAGCAAGTGAGTGAGTGACAGCTGGAGAAGCCTGTTTACCCGAGGCTTTAAATGCTCTACCAATATGAAATTCCACTTTGAATACACACACATACACACACCATTCTAAACAAACAAGCACCCACACATGTAAACAGAAGAGATTCAATACTCTAGGGGTTACGAAGAGCACAACGTGGCCGGTTCTGCATTACACAACAGAGTACGCACGCACAGATACACAAATAAAACCATGTTCAAAAACATCCTCTTAGTCATTCCAAATTCTTTTTAGATCCAAGCCAACTTTTTAGTCATCATTAAAACAGCACCAAAGTGATAATAGGACAGAAATGGACTCGCTGGATATTGTTGCTAATCGCTTTATAAAAGCCTCTTATTATTGCTCATTTACCTGCTCCAGGAATCTGCATAAAGTGTATCGAGGAAACAGTCGTTTATTTCTGAGGCTTACCCATCATTCCTATCAGCCATAATAACGTTATACTATACAGTCATATGGCTGAGATGTGGTGCGACATTACTGAAAAATAGAAGTTTGGAAGGACAAGAAATGGTGGAAATAAACCAAGCTTCAGTTTTCCTGTGCCAAGCTTTTAAGGTGCTGTTATGTGTTATACCTTGAAGCCGTTTATTTACTCCAGTCATATTTTTTATTTTTCACAGCAATATAAAGTCCTTTATCTCTATAGAAACAGCACAACCATGAAGAAGTAGGGTGAGCTTCAAATGTCTTCAATGCAGTGTAGCACAGTTAGAATGCCATAAAGAACAAAAAAACAACAAAAAGAAAAAATGGAATCAATGTGTAGAACATTTTCCAAGTGCCTGCTAGTGTTACCTATATTGGAAAGAAAAGGGGGCTTATATGGTATAAATAATCTCTTTGACTTATTAATGTGCAACCAATACAAACTCTATTCTGCACATCAGCTCTAGACAGATGTTTCACCATGCTAAATTCCAACAACTTGCTCCTCTGTATTCTGTTTTGGTTTTTGTCTTTTTAAGCCATGCTGCATTTAGTTTATTTGATAAAATAAGTTTGATTTTCCTCTCTTGACGTCTTCTCTCTGCTCTTTGTAAACACAACCTGGAGTTCAGTCGAGAAGTTTTAGAATTTTTTGTAAATTGACTGTCACAGCTGAGTCATTCGTGGTTACTGAGTCGTGCTGAGGAGATGTTTCAGCTTTTACAGAATCTGGTATGTTTGTTATTTTTCCTGGAAAGGATAAAAAAAAAATTGAACAACACATCACACGTAATACACTCAAGGACCATTTGGAAGCTAAAAATCTGACAGTTTATTCTGATTTTGCCGCTTCTTGCTCAGACAAATTTAATTTTGTCAATGTTGTAAAACAAAACATATCTTTTAAAGCCCTCTGGGTCTTAGGGTTCAGAGGGTTAAATCATGTTGCCAAATTTTAACTGCGAAATAAAATTTCTTGCAGATGTGAGCACACTATTCTTTCATGGTATTAATCATTTCCAAATTAGCACTGTTCTCCAGCTCTGATGTCGGTGTGGTGAAGAGGAAGAAGGACTTCAGAGCTTTGTCTTTTGTGTCAGATACTAAATATCACATGAGCATTGCAGCTCTATCCATTATGGACACGTCATGTTTGAACAGTCATCTCGCTGTGGAAACTTAGTTTGAAACACCAAAAGACTGGCAGAACAACATTTTGCTGCCCTGTGTTATTGTAGTATTTGTGTTAAAGGGCGTATTAAACAAAAGACATGAGAAAATATAATTGTCTTGGGGCGACTGTTTTCTTCACCTTTAGTCGAGGAAATGTGGTTTTATTCTCAGTTTTGATCTTTTTTTCTGAGCAGGGTAGGCACAAACAGACCAGCTTTCATTTTGAAGACGCAGCATAAAGCAAGGTGCTATTGTGGTGAAAATTGATTCCTGTGCTGAGAGGCAACATCTGAAAACCATGTCTGCACATCATCATCATCATCATCATCATCATGAGTGATGTAACACGGGGTTGGGCTTTGACAGTTTTAGGTCTTTTCAGATTGAGAGATTGTCTTTCCCAGTGGTAGGAGATCAGAGCCCAGCTTCAGTCTAAGCCTGTGGTTCGTAAATCACCCGTCAGGATTCTGCACTTGACTCTCTTGAGGCCAATTCACGGTTTCCGCATCACTGACGTGGACTTTTAAAACAGACAGTGGACACGAACTCGATTCTATTCATTCTACAATAGGTATGTGTCAGTCTCATTGTCCCTCGTGTCAAACACAGAAAAACACACAAGGCTCCTGTGGATGGTTTTCAAAGGCAGCGCCTTATCAGCTGCTTACAGGTTGGACTGTCAATGTATTTTCCTGAAGGTGGACACAGCACAGGATTTCTAGAGTATCTAGAATCCCAATTGTTACCTCAAAAAGTCCAGCAGCAACTACTTCAGTTACAACTCGTTTAACTGTAAAGTTGTGGATCACCAAGAATCTCCTCATACAGTCTCTCCAAATAACATTAGCTTTAAGCACCATTTGGTTTAATGTCATATGCTCAGTCTTGCTTGCAGCACAAACAGTCCCGGTGGCCCTCTAACCCTAAATTTTGGGCTGAACCCAGATGTCTGCAGAGGCCTGTGTGCAGACTTGATGGAACTTAGATTGCATACGCTTACAGACATGCAGAATCGGAAACCAGGAATTGTTTTTTTGTTCTCGGAGGCTGTGTTGATGACTTCTGATGACTCGGCCCACTACCCTTTAGGTTACCGAGCTGATAGACTTGGGCCTTGATTTTCTCTGTCAGCCCTGACTTTGGGGTGCCATCAATGATCTTGCCCACGCTCATGTTTGATCTTCAGCGATCAATCAGACCCCTCTAAGATCTTAAGACAAGGTGTTAAGAGCTGGAGTGTCTTGTTTCTTTGCTGGTTTCAAGCTCATTCAGGCCTTATGTAACCTGCATTTCGGCTTTGCTGTTGGCATTGTCGCTGTTGTTGGCCTCATTGCTCCACTTCTGCTTACTTAAAATTGATTCAGTTGGAGCTGATGCTGTGTCCATGTTGTTCCAGAAGTGAAATGCTTGTAATAGCACAGAATTGAAGGAGTTACACTTGATGCATCAAGTAGCCACAGGTATACGCAGGGTCTTTCCACCAGAACCAGATCTGTTCCTGCATCTCTCAGGCATTTGCAAGTTCTACTAAACTAACTTTTAGGAGCTAATCTGTGTTCCACCACTGCTTATTGAGTTGTAAATTACTGTATTGTTGCCTAAAACCAATTTAGCAATAATGCACTGAGTAGCAAAACAAAGCAAGGCAACATTATGCACACAAATTAAAGCTGGGTTTTTGTGATGCTGAATATTCTTGTCTGTCCATCCAGACAACGCTACTATTTTCCAACATGGAGAAGCCATCTGTTACATTACGCTCCATTGCCATCGTAACCCAACTCAACCGTTGGAGAGGATAATGAATCACCACCAGCCTCTCAGATTTAGATTCCATTTCGCTCACACTTGCTGCACCTACACGAACAGAAATACCCTCAAACCTGAGCAGAATCAGAGACAAGGGGGATAAACAGACACAGCTGGAGCTGATGCGAGGTATCTGAGGATCAGAATCAGCAGCAGCAGATTCTGATTCCTGATATTGCTGTGAGATAAAAAACACACATACAGCTTTGTTTCCATAGAGATTAGTTTCCCTCTTGTGTCTCAGTGTTGCTGCATGATGCATGAACTGTTTGTGAATTTCTGCATGTACGGCTGACCTTTGCTTAGTGTATTGATCACTTGTGTGTTTTGGTGTGCGCATGGTGTCTGTATTCTATTTGAGTGTGTGCAGCAAAGTTCATTGGTGAGCTGATTGCGTTTGTGACTTGTTGAAGAAGACGTGCTAAGCTTGTGTTATAATCCTTAATTAATTAAAAAT